TTACACATTTGTTATGATTGTTTTTGGTTTTTTTTAAAGTTCAGATTTTTTCAAAGCTGTTTGAATGGAAGCTGATTCCGGGGCTGTTTCCTTCTTAGCATTGGATTTCTTGGAAAAAATTCTGACATAGGGTTATACTGTTTGTAGCACTACAGTATTGTAGATAATTTGGATTGCTTCCGGCACCATGATGGAGTCCCCCTTTTCTAAAAAAATGTTTTCAACAATGTCGCTGTTCACAAATCCTGGTGTAAGTAAGTACTTAATGTCATTCACAACAATTCTACATAAACTCTGAAATCCATAAAAAGGAAATTTAAGTCCTCTAGTCTCATGTGACATTAAATGCTTAACATCTGAAGTATCTTTTTCCCACTTAAAAAAAGGAGAGCACTGGAAAGCTGTTGTAACTTCATTTGAAGGTCTGCGATGGGACGTCTGTCGTGGAAGCATTTATCAAAAAACTAGTCTGTTCCAATATTTTTATGGGGCCCCTCACAGCGGGATGCAGCAAGAGACTGTCCCCCCAAATTTCCCAACTGTCGCATGAGATGCAGCATGTCTGAGTTAGGATTCCTGGCAAATTCCCCCATTTTTTCTGCTTGGTTTGGATGCAAGTTTAGAGGTAAGTTTGTGATGGATGGGGACCATGCTTTTTATCCCCTTCATAGGCATCAATGAAGGTTTTCCAAATTGTTTCACATCCATCAATGTTGAGAAGTCGAGAGTGCCACTGGCATGTACGACTGCTCAGAATGTTATTTCTAATTTTTTTAAACAAATGTGATGGATCTGCAATGAAGACTACTGGATGGGTATTAAAGAAAGGATTAAAGCCAGCCATATCAGATGATGGTGATGGAAAATGCATTTTGATGAACGTTGTTGTTAAAATGTCCATCCAAGGATGTGTAAATAAATTAAACCCCCATTGTTCAAGAGGTGCACTACATCCCAGAACATTGTATAGATTTGTGGTGATTGGCTTGGGTAGTGGGATGTGAGAAAAGGAAACGGAAACCCGCGAGTGGAAAATAATTGAATGACATGGTTTGCCAACAGGTATTTAGGACTGCATTCTGTTACCCTCAAATCCCAAGTCAGGCATTCCTATGAAATTTTCGGGACCCACCATAATGGTCTATTTTGTTCCTAATGGCCATTTCATCAAGAATAAGGCCTCCATAATAGCCCTCTTGAGGAATTCCATATTTTTGGTTATGAAATCCACTGTAGCATGTCGTTATTGACTCCAGATGTTTGATGTACAGAGTTTTTGTATTTTGATAATGTGTTTACACAAGGTAGAATAAGTTTTTTACTAAAACAAGTTGCCAGGGCCCCGGGATTTTGTTAGATAATGCTAATTGCATAATGTCAAAAACCCTTTTTTATGTAGTTTTTTACAAGAATTGATAAGTTGAGATTTTATAAGTGCAAGCTGTCCTTCTCCTAAAAGGGGCCACCCCTGAAGATACTGCAGATTTCATTGGAGAGTTGGGAAAAGGTTGGTGGATGTGGATGGTGGAGGAAGCGGAGGAGGCAGAGGAGGGGGAGGAGGAGGAGGTGGTGAACTTTCTGTTGACTGTACCAGACGTTCAGATTTTGTTGCAGTAGATTTAACGCTACATAGACTTTTGCAGTGGTGACATGTCACAGTTTCCCTTTTTGGAAATTTAAAGGAAATTTCATGCACTGTGAAAGTATGAGACTTTTATGGTAAAATTTTTTTGTAATGACATTTTCCCTTTTTATGTACTGGAATTTTTTCTGCGTCTAAGCCCTCACAAAAGCGAAAAGAGTTTAGAAACAGAATAATGAGTTCACTTTGAGGAAAGTAAATTCTATTTTGTCATGTTTAATTCTTTGTACTTTTTCCCCAAAGATATCTGAAATGACCCATCAACATTGATCAACACTTCCATCAGAATTTTATGACCATTCAAGATAAGGAAATATTTTGCAAAAACAACGGGAAAATAGTTCCTTATCAGAAAAAAATCATCTGGAATACACTTGTAGATGTCTTGCAAATTTGCAGGAGTATAACATCACATCTTGGAGCTAATCCTGATACACAAAAATTTTTTAGTAGTTTCCCTTTTAACTTTTTTTTTTTACACCCTTAAAGTGTTTGAAAAAGTGCCCAAATATCTGTTTACATCTGTTTTTAGGTCAAAATATTGACTGAAATTCACTGCGACATCTTTACTGGTACATATAATTTTGTTTTCAATGTAGTGCTGATGCAACCTGCATGTATAAAATTAATGGGTCAGAAAACTTTGATATATTTGTATAATAAATAAAATTATGTTTATGTTTTTTCTTTTATCAAAACTGCATTCAGTTGTGTATTTAAAGAATTAAAACCAGTTAAAATTAAAATTTTATTAGATCAGCATTATACTTCTAGGAATTAGAAAAGAAGTCATGTATGTTCATGTATTTAGATAGACATTTCTAGTCCTCTTTCAGTTTGTGTAAATCTGTATTCAGTAAATGAAGAACCTTGTCTCTTTAAAAATACTAGAAGGTATTACTGGAAAAATTAGGCCATTCCAAGTATTTACTAGGTTTAGAGTCCAGGGACGGATTGGTATAGAGGTTAATAACTTTTAAAACAAACACACACTAAAAATGTAAAAATACAAAAATTTGAAACACAATTTACTATTTTGAGATTGGCATCATTTTTTAAAAAGTTTTTTACACCAAATTATTTTTATGAATTAGTATTTTTATTTTAATGGAAGGAAATTTCTCCAATCTACAAGTATTCATTTAATGATGATGATATGGAACAATAAAAGGTGCTTCAAGTCTTGCAGAGGATTTTGGTTTTATTAATTTTTTAAAACATGCAGCAATTACCAATATTATCTGATATGTCATGCATTAATTTCAAATTTCTGAAGTTACTACATGTATTGCTCTCAGGGGGAGAGTTTTTTTTTATTTGATTGTTGTTTAACATCCCTCTCAAGAATTATTCAATCATATGGAGACACCACTACTTGCAAGTGGAGAGCTGCAAATTTTGTCCAATACTCAGCAATGGGCCATTGAGCAGGGAGGGTCTCTTTAACCCCTGCGACAGGACCTTGGTTTTCGGAGAAGGACCTGTCCCTACTCTAACCACTGGGTCACTCGGGTACCCGGGGTAGGGTTAATAATTTGATTATGTATTTTTTCTTTTGAGGGGGGGGGATATTAGGTTGACATGAATCTCAAATTAGCAATTGTGACCCAAGAAAATCTTGTTTTTAAATTTTATAGATGTGAACAACAACAACAACAAAAAACATGCATTTACTTGCATAATAATTACTTTATTTACAAACTGGATCCTAGTCTTGGGTAAAATGCTTCAATGATTTTTGTTAGAAACATTTATAAAATGTAGGATCATAATGGATGCTCTCAAGCTCTGCTGCTATAGTTAGTTATTAAGACCCAGTTGTCATTAAGCTCCTTGTATTGCCAAGAAATATACTATTGCCAAGAAATATACTTCGAAGAAGTCAGACATTAATATTTTTCATATTGTCTTTGGTTTAGAAGTATGTTTATCTGTTCAACATTAAGTATTTATTTTCATAATGAAAAATTGCCAGGTCCCTGTGAATCAATGTTAAATTAAATGTTTTATGAGTTTGGATCAACAGTTGACTTGATTAAACCTGTTGGCTATATATGAATAATTCTCTGTTGTGGAGATTGAATTCTTATGATTATGAACAAGGATGTATAAAAGTCACTCCCCAGTCAGGACGAGCAACAGGGGGAGTGAGGCTGCCCCCCCCCCCCCTTTTTTTCCCCAACATTACCTTTACTATTGAAAATGTTCATTGAAAGGGTTTTCCCCCCCCCCCCCCCCCCTTCTTACCACAGTATAGTGATATGAAGGAAAATGTAAGTATGAAAAAAAATTGGAATTGAAAGGAAGAGGCCTTGAAAAAATTTGGGCCCCCCCACCCCCCCCCACCACCACCACCACCACCACCACCACGAAATAGGATTTTGGAGTTTGAGCAGTTGGTTTTTTTTTTGTTTTTTTTTTTTGCTTGTCAACATTTACAGGTAAGTGAGAAAAAAAAATTCACTGGTTGCCCCCCCCCCCCACCCCCCACTTTAAAAAGCGATGCTACGTGCCTGCCAGGAACTTAACATAATCAATATTTTCCCCTAGTTTTATCAGTGTTTATGTCACAAATATATAATTTCTTCTAGTCCCCTTTAAAAAAATCTGTCTTGTATCCTGCACCATGAAAATATATTTTAATTTTTCTTATTTGGATTTTTTTTTTAAAAAAGAAAACAGTTTGATGTCAGGTATCTGTGTAACTTTTTTTTATTTCTGCTATAATGAGACGATTAGTGTATAATATTACATCAATACATTGTGAATTATTAAAGAAACGTAAATATTTTTAAATATGGTGTGATAAAAGCAATAATTACCAGTAGAAATGATCAACTTCCATAATTTCATTTCAAAACATTTCATTTATGAATTAAAATGCCGCCTTTTGAATATGTATATTGGCATTATATTTGGAAAAAAATTACCAATCAAAAAGGGATTGCCCAAGAATGTGTGATGATGTAAATTCCGGCCCCCTTTGGCGATTTTTCGCATATCTGAAGCAGTAATAGCAAACGAGGAGAGATTTTAATTAATTGCAAACGAAATGTGCTGATTTGGTTGAATAGGTCATAAGTTTAAAGTGAAGGACCTGCCGCTACAGGAGAGGATCGCAAAATTATCTTGTCATTCCGTTTCAAGCGAAAAATCGTGCTGATGTGGCTGGCCTAGAAAAATTCAAGATGGCGCGTTGGGTACCTTGTTTATTATAAGGTAAGGGTATAATTTTTTTATTAAAAGAAAAATAAGTAACGTCAGGTGCCTGTGCATTTGTGAGTAATTTTAAGATGAATTTAATCTGGTTTTTTTTCTTAAATCTGCTAAACAAAAAAAACATTTCTCATGCTCATACCTGGATATTACTACGTATTCTTTCTGGAGTAACACTCTTTGGAATTACAATAATACCTCTTTGAATGAGATTTCAAGAAAAAAATAAAGGAAGATATGAAATAAAAAAAAAAATAATCCAAAAAAAAATACGTTATATTAAAGAACGTTTACTTCAACATCCATGATTGTCTTAATCCTTTTTAAATGTACCTGTGCAGGGGTTTTTCCATACTTCTTGGCTTTTTTTAATGATAGGATCTTCTAGAGCAACCGGTTCATCTGCTTTTTTACTAAAAAAAATATAGTATTAATTCTCATATATTGGGGGTTATCAAAAAGCTCCTGGAGTGAGGCTATAAAATTAGTACTTTGTAGTCTGAGCTTACAAAATTTTTATGGAACATAAAACAATAAAAAATAAAGAAATGTTGAAAATTTTAGCCTGATACGTTAATTATTTCCCAAATGATTATAAAATAAAAACGACATTATGTCAACGCCCGGCGCCGTCGCCGTATTATGACGCCCGACAACGTCATTATCTTTCAATTCCTGCTTCTTCTACCTCGTACACTTATTTTGATGAGATTCACTGGAGCTGAGGCAGGATTCAATCCGTCTTGTTTATATGATTTTAAAATGTCATGAGCAGCGGCTTTAAATGCATATAATATTGCAAATGAATTTATACAATGGGACAGATCCTTGTTTGATTGTGCCAGCATATTTTGCTTTTTGGAGTTCAGTATCTACAACACATGATCAACGTCATTTTTTGACGTGATTGATTTTTCACACCTTGACTACAAATCGACATTAACTGTACATTCCTTTTCTCTCTGAATCTATTTGTCATTAAAAACAAATACTCTGGAGATATATTATTTCTCCGTAGTCAGTTTAAACGTTTCCTAGGTCTATGCCATTTTTTTCAGGGACAAAACTTTATAAAATGTTGGAAAAGAATACCCCTCCCCTCTTTTGACGTCATTTTCAAGCAATATTTGGACACTCCATGTAAAATGTACGATAGATTTTCATAGAACTTCTAGAGTGAGGTAAAAATTCCATATTTTATGGAACAATAATTTCCCAACACATACCTGAATTAACGGGATTTTTGGATGTCAAATGTTCATATCAAAATAGTTTTTTCTTAGTTACACCCACATCGAAAAAACGTCGTTTTCGAGGTTGCACCGCATGGACATATCATTGCTTACAAAAACATTACTAATTTATCAAAAAAAAATCAATTATTTGTAATTTATTCTATAGATAGAAAATATGATGCTCACTAGATATTTCAAAATTCATTGATGTACCTAAAGTGGTTTTAATTTCATGGCGGTAGTCCACGAACTTTTTGAAACCCCCTCGTAGAAGACTTGTCTTGGGATTTTATTTCTTACCTCTTTTTGAATTTATTGAAAATAGGAAAAAGTGATATCAATAGTACGTGTAACGCCATAATATTTATTTTTGATAAATTATCAATATTTTTATGTTTCAGACTCAGAACAGTTTAAAACAACACAACTAGTACACTAATAAGTTTTTTTTTTAATTTAATAACATTTAAAGCTTTCCGTTATTAAATTATACATGTAAGTGTCAATTTTAACTAATAACCATGAATACATCCCGTGTTTGGAACTCTACGTTTTTGAATAAATGTGGACGTCTTGAATTACTGTTTTGGCAAGGAAAGAAAAAAACTTGCAAATTCGAAAAAAGCTTTTGGTAATTTTGAAGGTGAATGTTTTATTCAAATCTGCTCAATGTGATGCAATATCTCTACGCAAGATTTTTTACTTCAATACATGTAATTTGTGTAGCTTGCTTTTACAAAATAATTTGTGTTGCTTTCTTTTACTTAAGTTTAATGAAAAAGAAATAAATTAAAATCTTCAATAAAAGGTTATTTTAAATTTACGCCAATAGAACGTTTTATCATTATGATATCTTTCATTCTTTTAATCAAAGTAATAAAAACTCAATATATCAATGTTTTGATTTAAACAAAATGTCCGTGATACTCACAAAAGTTCAGGTCTTCCTGGAGATCCTATAGGAGCGTAGGCTGTCAGTGTAACGCCAAGCTTCTTACAGGCCTCAAACAGCTCTTTCTGTGGCCAATATATGTGGCATTCCACCTGTGAATGAAAAGTTATCATTAAAAAAACGGAAATTATATCGAAAAAATGTTGAACATCTTTTATTTGAACAAACAATTGCTTTGGAGGTTTATTACTGAGTATTGGGGTTGATCAAAAGTTAATCAAATCACACATAATATAAAACAAAGTGAATGCGCTAGCTTACTTGGTTTGTAACAGGTTTGTGTTTTGCCACCTTGCAGATTCTTTCGATTTGTGAGATGCCGAAGTTAGACACTCCAATAGATTTAGTTAATCCGAGGTCTACTAGTTCCTCCATTGCCTGTAAAACGTGCGATATTTCTTTAATAATTTTATATGACAAAATCATAAGCAATTCATTTTTTCATGCTGTTTCAATTTAATAACGATTTCTTTGCCATTCATTTAACGTAAAGGTGGCTAATTGAGGTTTACTGAAAGTTGATTAAAAGATAATTAAAAGGTGATGAAAAAATTACAAAAGTTAAATAATTGTTTCATGAGTGTTTGATTAAAAGTTAATCAAAATTTGACTAAATGTTAACTGAAAGGTGATGAAAATAAACAAAAGATGACAGAAAAATTACTGAAAAGTTAACTAAACGGTGACTAAAAGTTAACTGAACGGTGACTAAAAGTATCCTCAAAGGTTAACCGAAAGGGGACTCAGAGTTTACTGCACATAGTGACTTTCATTTTACTAAAAAGGTAATTAAGGCCAATTGAAAGCTGACTGAAATTTACTGCAAAGTAAACTGAGACCTGACTAGAGTTTACTAAATGGTGACTTAAAATTTACTAATATGGCTCAAGGTTTACTGAAATGTGTCTGATTGACAGAACGTCATATATAATGTTGTACCTTCCATGTTCCCAAAAGGTCCCACTTGTCTGCAGCCTTCCAACCTCCGGCTTCATTTAGTGGAAAAACATTGTTGTCGTTACCATCATACTAAAAGACATTAATTCAAGCCAACATTAGGTATTTGATAAATTAGGATGCAGAAAGAATAAATAATAGATTGAGACTCTTAAATTCATTATTATTCATTTTAAATCTTATTTTCTTTTATACTTACCACTAAAGGTATTGGGAAATGAATCAGGTACAAATCTAGATATGATAACTGTAGTTTCTTCAGGCTTATTTCAATGGATCTCTTCACCAGTTTTGGGTCCATGTGAATCATTGGAAGCTGATATAATAAATTTTTGTTATACAAACACAAAAATACATGTTTAAGAGGAATGTCACTCTTTCTTCCATCTTGAAGCACATTTTCCATACCATATGCAGCTGTATATTTTCTTAATGATACAAGGATACCTTATAATTCCAATTAAATAATTATACCTATTAATTGCATTTAAAAATTTTACTTGAATATAAAAAATCATTCTGGTAACTAGTATATAAATAGCAAAAACTTGTGCAAAACTTTAAGTTTTTATAGCATTCATTCATGAAAAATTTCATTCATTTTGTTCTTAGATACCTTTGTAACAAAAAAAC